TTCTGACCGTTGAGAGGCTCTTCTGTCCTTCCCCAATGACTACTGGAGAGACTCTAGCCCAACTTTGGATTGGATTGGATTCTTTGTTTTCAAACATGCAAGAGAAAAACAAAAAAACAATAAAACAATGTTTAAAAACATTGGAGAGAGAAACAACAAACAAGGTACCCTTCTTTCCTGAGTTAATATACCTCTATTACATGTGCGAAAAGGAGTAGGAAGAAGTAAAACTTATGTGCTCCTACCCCTTTAATTCTTGTATTGCTTCAATTTACAATATTTATAATTTTGTTGCTATATATATCCATATAAATACATACCTACCTACACATATACATACATAAATATGTATACACATATACCTTCATACAAATAAACAAAACAAAAAACACAAACAAAACTTTCTACAATGCTTCTCTATACCTTTTGAAAATAATTTCTTTGTAAATTTTTTGAAAAGGAATATGTTTGGGCATTGCTTTAGGTTCTCATTTAGTTTGTACCACAATTTAACTCTGCAAATTGAGAAACATAAACTTTTCCTTGTTCTTCTACATCCCACGTCGACCCAGCATGCACAAGTGGGTATTCACAGTGGCTTAATGGACGATGCATTTACCATATAACTACATATTCTGTGTGAGTTTTAGTTAAAATTGGGGCACTAGGCATGTAAAGGCCTTAACAATCTGCAAAGTTCTCTTTAACACCCATTGAAACTTAAATCATAATCTGTATGTTACTTTGGGGTTGTGTTACAGTGGATACATATTTCAGCATACAAATTCTGTCAGAACCTTAAGACACAATTTAAGTTCGCCATCTGTTCATCCAAAATAAATGTTTCAAAGCTTTCTGCTTAAAAATTACAAAAATACAGGTGTCACTTTTACAAAACCAGATACCAAATAAATCGGGCCTAACAGCGAGGACCTAATAAACAGTGACTAAAGCAGCAGCATGCAGGGATTGGTGGAGATATTTGAATCCCCCAAAAAACCTAATATGTTTTGTTTTTTTATCTTTTATGGAATAAGATTTTTTTAAAAGTAACCCTGTGTTCTTATTTATTTTTACTAAAGATCATTTTAACTTTGACAGCAAGCCACTCGCTCACTTGACCCCCCTCCACATATTAATCAAAAGGATATTAAAAACTGAAATCAAATCTTGTTATGTCTTTTGGTTATGGTGTGTTATGCCAAGATTGTTAGTAGGCTCCTATCTGGCTATATATTTGAAGGGTATTTGGAGGAATTTCTTTCCAAAAAGCCCCAACTTACTCCTTTTTCTGCTGTTATCACAAGTAGCACAGGGGAGTAGCAAAAGGGGGCAGTCAGTGGCCAACACGCTCCCTTTGGCCAAACTGATATATGTGCATAACAGTTTAAATCAGAGGTCTTTAACATTTTTCACTTTCGGGACCCCCAGATTAATGACGAGATAGAGCAAAGTCCATCTTGACATTTATGCCCCTGAGGGTATACAGCTGGCAGAGAAAAAAATCAATGATAGAGATTTAACCTGTCAAGCACACAGGGTTTTAGAACTGATTTCCACCTGATAAAATAAAACAACAACAAAAAAGGAAAAACCAAGAATAACTCCACAGTTATCAGGTTTTATAATGCAAACATTTTGTGGCTGTATAGGTAATTACATATCTAAGCCTGGCCTGGGCTTGCTGGGCCCTCTGGGCTTCAGGGTTCTCTGAGAAAGTTCATGACCCCGTCTGCAGTACCTCTGGGACCCACTAGGAGGTTGCAGCACCATGGTAAAGACATGACATAGTGAGCTTCTATTAATTAAATATTTGTTCATCTATTATGTTTGAGTATCTATCCCAATACACTATAGCTTATCACCATAGAACATCCATTATATCATTACCTTTGATTATGCCTTGTATTACAGTGGATTATATTTATTTCAGATTCTTAAGGGGCAGTGGCGACCTAGTGGTTATGGCATAGAGCTTGAAATTCCTGAGGTTCTGATTTTGAGCCCAAGTCCCACAGACTGCCACTCTGGGTCTTTAGCAAGACCCTTAACCCACGATTGCTCCCTGGGCTCCCCATGATGGCAGCCCGCTGCTCCCCAAGGGATGGGTTCAATGCAGAGATACATTTTTCCAATGTGAGATCTATAAAGTTTAAATATTATTATTTTAGGACCCCCATCAGATGGTGCATTTACCTTTTAAAACCTTTTAAAAAGATAAACAATAGGTATTGCCGTGCAACACAGACATCAGTGTGGGCTGTCCACCATCTGGATACTCCAAGCCTAACTAGAGCTACAACATGACAGTACCTCCACTAGGAGGCAAAACATGCACATTTCCAGGTTCAATAATCCTAAGGTTTACGCCATCTGTCCTTTAACGTTTTGTAAAAAAGAAAACAAAATGAAATTGAAAAAAAAAACAAAGTTTAAGGATATTCTCCTCGCGCACAATACCTCAGAGGCAGCAAATGATGAGTAAGAGTTGTGATACCAAAGGAAACAAAGAAAGCGTCTGTGACAAAATTATCCTTAATTTATTTCTGTGCAAAGATCTATTTAAATCAAGCAATAACGGATTTAGAGGCCAGGTGTTGTTATAAAAATATCAACTTAAATATGATGTAATTGTTATTTAGAATGTCTTGCATTAAAAAGGGTGTTCTACAATGCTACGATCACATATGACCAAGATAAATATAAATGTAATAATAATAATTCTATTGGAAAAGTATTAAAGGTAATAAAATTTTAAAATAAAAAATGAATTTTGGTGACACATTCTATTAAATATTTTGAAACAAACTCAACTAAAATTGTTGGTTTAGTTTAACATGAGCTTTCTTGTTTTGTAAACAGTGTCCAATACAAAAGGAAAACAGTCTATCTACCATGTAAACATTAGGAAACATGATCAAAATTTGTATCCCGCTCAGGGAATTATTTTCTTAATCCTGTGGAATTTTTAGCAGTTGGCAGCTTGGCTTTGGCAGTGAGGGAAGAAGTTTAAAGTGCTGCATTCTTTAAATAAATTAAATATGTCTTTATCCGTCCATTACTAGTTTATTAATAGAGGTATTGCTTAGTCCAAACCTGCTAGCGTAATGGAAAGACGGTCATTGCAGATAAATGACACAGCTCGGCATCCGTCAAGGAAAAGGTTGACATGTAGCATAGAAGTTTATTACTATTTTCCTTGCATTTTATCCCTAAATTTAAAAATTCTTGTAGTTTTATGAAAATGTCAAATGTTTTAAATTTGTTTGGTTTTCTTTCAAATCTAGTAATAAAGAGAGATTGACAGAAACTATGAATAAGCATTTTTCCTACACCAAATTACCATTAATAATGAGAGTTTATGAATACACTTTATCACAACAAATATCTCAGCTGATTCCTTCTGGGCATGTTTATTGGTGCTAATTAGTGCTATTTCTTCAGATAAATCACCATTTTCTTCTTTCTCTGTTTTAACAAATAAAACATAAATCAAAGGAAGATGAATCTAATTTAGTCTCTTATTTTTAATTCATTATGAAAGTAAAACTGTGAAGGTGAATTAATAAATTGGTCCAAGGGACTAATCAGTTGCTGTTCCTGGACCAGTTCATATAATCATAAGAAATGCATATGGTATTGTGTCTTTAGTACAGGGGTCATGACCAGTTCAAAAGGGGCACTGGCCCCTATTAGCCTCTTGTCTATAACCGCCCATGTGCAAAACAATGTCTCAATCCCTCTTAGAATCTTGTGTGGGTTCATTCTAGGTGTTCACAAGCTAATGCAAATGAAATGTATATTTATTTATTTGACTCCAATAGTGAAATACTACAGCTTTTCTATTGTCATTACACTGTCACATGTACAGAGCAATGAAATGAACTCTCTCCATTCAACCCATTGCATTTGGGAATTGCTGAGATGGGAAACGAAAGAAAGAGCAGAGAGAATGTTTTACCTTTGAAAAAATTTATTTGGGAAATCTAGCAAAAAATTATAAAAAAAAAAAAAAAATGTCTTAGACTTGCTGATTACAATTTAAATGAAAACTGACTAAACTGCAACTTCAACATTATTGACTTTTAGTCAAGACAATACCTTAAATCTAAATTAAAATGTGTTGCCTGAGCTAAAAAGCTGCTGACACCTTTTTATCTGTATTGATTAAATTTTTTTAAGATTTGATCTGTTTAGAGGGATTTAAATCTATATTAAGGAAGACTGATCAAAACATTTTAAAAACGATTCTTTTTTGTTCTATGAACAGTTGATTTTTCAGCTGTTTTATACTTCATTGATAAAATATACATTTACAAATATAGATATAAAGTTTGATACATGATTATGAATAACTCAAATGATCTAAACAAAGTATGTTTAGCTTAAATAATTAAAATTTAACAAATTTTCTTAACTTTATTTAAACAGTTTGCGTAACAAAGACTTTAAATTAAATCTTTTCAAATTGGTACATTTTAGTGTAGTTAGTTGTCTTTTCCTTTGCTCATTTGATTGTTTGATAATCTGGACAATTTTTTACAAAAGTGGAGTTTCAAAATGTATAGGTTGTTATAATATAATATAACCAAATCTAGACGGCTATGTTTTCCTCATATAAGAAAAGAAAACCTTTCCTATATTAGCAGTAAAGGCAGCATAGTGATTTATTTGGGCTTCAATGTGAATTCCAGAGATAAGATTTTATTGTCTATCCTAAAATGCGCAGAGGTATCATTTAATATGGTGCCGACTTGTTGAATTTCAGGTCTTTTCAGGAAAGTGTGCGCTCAGACTTTGAAGCTCCTGCAGCCTTCATCTCTGTTTGTTTATTTATGGCTAGATGGGTTTAGGGTAGGAGCGGCGGCGGTGGTTATGGAGGGTGGTCATGAATGAAAACTCCTTCACATCCACCCGAGGATCGGATCAGTGTCACCCCATTGTCCCGCCGTGGCAAAGTGGGCGGATAGCAGTGTCTCCTCCTGCCCAATGGCAGGCACGATCCTCATGAGAGCGCAGAGAGGCACTTTTCTGCCCCGCAGAATCCCTACAACCATCATCATTCCGGCTCGGAGAGCCCGCAGTGGAGTGTAAGACCCTCGGCTGCTGAGAGATGTCAGAGCCAACCCCGGCGCGCACACGGCCCTGCAGGGAGCTCGGAGCTGCGTAGAACCGAGATCTCTCTTTGTATTCGACCCTCTCTGGAGCGGACATAAAAAACCGGGAGTAAATAAAAGGATTTCTTTATTGCCAACTTGAATCGAAGTCGTCTTGATCCAGTCCGAGTGCGGCCATTCGCTCAATGTCATCATGATCATCCTCTCGTCGCGCAGTGTACTGCTGTCAGTCTACTACCCGCAGATCTTCCTGATTCTGACGAGCGGCAGCTACCTGTAAGTCAGAGCCAATTAACCTAACTGCTCCTTAATTAACTCCGGAGCCCGCGCGCTCTCATCCAAAACCGCACATTTATTTTAATCCCGACAATTAAATCCTACTGAAGATACTCAAATTTCTCTTTTCCTCTGTTTAATGTGTTTAATATAGCGCTGCTTTGAGAGCGCATGTCCAAATGCTTAAGAACTGTTTATTTTTCACGTTTTTACATATTAGAGAAAAAAAATAATTGAGGATTATCATCTGTGTGGGCATTTTAACCCCTAGAACCCTACGGACCCACCGGCGGGTCCAGCTGCTACGTGACCTCGTAATTTTGCCAAACCCCCAGTATTGATGTAAAAAGCATATTTGGCACAGTTTGGTGACATTTATGGATAAATGTGCCAAAATGGCCTCTCCGCCTAAGAAATTTCTCACTAATAACATTCTAAAATAAATATGATTCATCTGATTGAGTCCAAATTTGGTATATTTTTACACAACATTTAGATTTAAAAGTCTGTACTATTTTTTTGTGCTATAAATAATATTTTGGTAGTGTTTTGCAATGTTTATTTCAAAGAAAATTTTGGCGAGGTTCAAAAAATGCAAAATATTTTGTATTTTGTCCCTAATATTTCAGGCAGGGTCAAAGCTACAATGGTGCTGACACCAGAAAACCATTCTATGACATCTTACCTTTACAGACGTACCAAAAGTTTCTTCTTAAATCTAATAGCTTTGAGGCTATAAGTTAATTACTTTTGTGTGTTTTTGTCAGGCAGAAATTTTTTTATACCCCCTTAGGGTGTAAGAGGTTAAGAAAATCAATCCACGTGGGAGTGGGCAGTTCATTATTTAGTCTTTAGTCTACTCATTATTAGTAGATAATGATGTAATCTTTAATAACCCAGCAAATATTTTTGCTGGATTTCATAATCGAATCATATGTTAATTTTGCAGAAACATGCACATGGATTCATTTGGGCCACTGAGTGGCAGATGTGTTCTTGAAAATTCCCATTTTTATTTTCTTTTTGAGAGGAAAGTTGAATATATGCACGTTTGGTATATGGTCAGAGGTCAGTGTTATTGTTTGATACGATATTATATGACGTGTAATGTGTTGTCAACAAGTAATTGCTTAAGGTGTTTGCATTGCAGTGGGGGTGATTGGTATGCATAATAGACAAGGGAGCCCAAATATGCTCCTTCTTTTTTGTAGTTTTAATGCTTCTAATAAATAATGCTGCTTCGAACACAACCAGAAAGGTGCAGAAAATACGGTTTGTTTGTTTCACAAATCTCGTTTTAAGAAAATCCCAAATTGTGCTTTTGGAGAATCCCTATTTAGAGTAAAGTAATCTTCTTCAAGTATGATCAGATGACATTTTTATATGTTAAACAAGTAGTGATTAAATGCACTCTAAACTCTCCAGAAAATGAACTGAACCTTTAGAGCAGAATCAGAAGCTGCTAATCAAATATCAGCCAGCTGCAGTGCGCAGCACTATTTCATTATAGTGGTAACACAAGGGCTCATGATACTGGAAAATGTTGAGATGGTGATGTAATTGTTAAATATTACATTGCATATTGCAGTTGTGTTTAACACACATTTTCCTTTCTCTTCTCTTCCTCATTTGTCTAAAGTAGAACACTGGCTTTAAGAAAGTTTCCGAAAATAATTCCTCATCCACTCCATCCTGCTCTTCTCTTCCTGCTGCCCAGAGACCCCAAAGTTAAATCCAAAATAGATGTGGTTTCTTCTACTATAAATAGGGGTGGCCTGCCATCCAAGCAATACAAAATAGTGTCTTTTTGAATCATTTAAGCATAATTTATGCTTAAACCAAACCGACATTTACCGTATTTATTAACATTAATATTCTTGCTTCGGATTAAAGTTCTATTTTGTTAAGCTACAGCTAAAACGTTACTAAATACCAATAATATTTGGCAATAAGAAACTCTCCAGTTGATGGAGAAATCAATCTTTCAAATCAAGTTTTATTTTTAATATAGGCTTAAATAAAAGTTCTCCTTTTAGCAGGTAAATGTACAAATAAAATCAATGTTTCAATATTTTGTTTTAAACCAAACAATTAGGAGCAAAAGGGCTTTTATTCAGTATTATTCATAGTCTCAAACTGAATGGATGGAGAACCAATAATGGGAAACATAAACAATCTAACAAACTAAAGAGTACTAAAACATTTAGTGGAGAATTCTGCCTTCGGCCCTATTTCTTTTCTGGACACTATTGACCTTTTCAGATCCCCTCCCTCTACTCTTTAAGGCTCCCTTGTTTGCCTTATTGCAGCTGGAGCATCATGCTGAGATGCAGCACATCAACACACTCTTCAGCTAGGCAGGGGCCCATTTGAAAAGCACTACACCGTGCTTATAAGAAAAAGAAATAAATAGAGAAAGAAGAGTGTGGCGGACAGCTGGCTAGCGTCGGGCAGCAACAGGTTGGGGCAGCACTATGTAACCCTTTGTTGCTTGGAGAAGTTGACTATCTATCGGCACTTGTCCAAACTTTTTGGGTTATACTGCTTGTGCGTTCTAAAACCATGTTTGTAAATGAGCAGCCAAAGAGGAAACAGATTATTCAGCACTAACACAACAGTGATTCACTGCTTTTATTCTCTTGAATCAGTTGTGTCTCAGGCATTTTGGTAAGTGCATTCCTCGGTGGAAGATGCATACCCCTGGAGCTTAACAGCATTTCAGTCAGGTTCTTAGTGTTTCATGTGATAGAGTGAGTGGCTGAAAGCACACTGTATGCCATGAGGCTATGGTTTCTTTTAGGGCCACCCTGCTCAGTAATACAACCTGTGAGGCTTTTCTTTCTTACAAACCCATGACATTGGGTAATGCTGAAAAACGGTTGATTCTTCTTTGGTATTCTGTCATTTCAGTTGCAGAAGAGTACAGGTGCAAATTTATGACACTTTTTTTTGTCTCATGGGAGAGCTGTCCCCTGACACACACAGAGAAGTGGCTAAGCAAACAGAATTGCGTTTGTGTGCTGCAATGATGCAGGGATTTAAAAGCTTAGCTCCGGAATTCTCTGTTTGGTATTCAACTGTTATGTGGGGACAGCATCGGTACTCTATGTGTTTTTGGTAAAATTATTGGGTGATGAACAAGTGAAACGCTTGAGAGAAGAAACAAAAGAAAAGCCTTTGTAGGTGGAGGAAATGTCTGCAAAGATTTGCATTGACTTTCAGCAGAGACACTTACTGTAACAATAAAAGAAAAAAAAAAGTCACCCAGTGCATAAAGAGCATGAGCATCATTTGATTAATTAATTACATAAGGAATCATGTTTCTCCAGTAGCAAATTGTTCAATTTAAATGAGTGTGCCCTTTCAGCTCGTACAGACGGGAACATCATGGTTGCTAGGAACAACCACATATACAGCTGAGGGTCACAAAAGGTGAGGAGAGTTCAATCCTGTTTAAAAGCAGAGAGAGCAAAGATGGTCTGAAAGCAGCAGCCGGCTGCAGTGTTTGCCGTGGACCTGACAAATGTCTTGTTCCCAGCCAAGTCGACCTCCGCCTTAAGGTTTTCTTCTTTCTTGGACTAAAACATTTCAAGTTCTTTGCTTCTACTGGCATAGAAATGTTCAGAGAGAATCCAGAAATTATTTTAAAATGTCCTATTTTTAATGCACTCCAAAATTTTTCCCTAATTTAAATTTTTTTTGTTATATTTTGTCTCTTCACAACATCAAACTATTTTGTTTTACTAGAAAAGGCTTCTTTATCTTTTTGTTCTTCATTTTGTGTTCTAATTTTACATTTACATTAACTCTGTTTAGTAATCTGGTGACACTGAAAGACTTTTGGTTGCACTGGATTTTTTCAATAGTCGTCAGAGTAAAGCAGGGCTAAATGAAAACCCAAATGCCACAATTTATTTTGTTTGGTAAATATTTTGATAAAAATTGTACCCTTTTTCTTCCACATCACACTCCGTCTTAGTTTGTGTTTTATTAATCCA